ATTCTTTCTCAAGTAAAGGTAAATTTGAATGTGAAGATGGAGACATGAAAGGAATGAATTTTGACTGGAAGGTGACAAATCTGATCTGTAGAAACTGGTATTATGGTTTTACCCTGTTATTGTTGGCATCATAGCCAATTCCAGAAAAGTAATTACATTATTAAGGTAGTTTTTCCATCAACTAGTTCAGGTATGAAACTTAACAGTGAGCATTTTAAATCTATATTAAGAATTAATTGCTAGTAAGTTAAGGTCTTAAGACTATTTTGACGACTACACAAATAATAATTCAAGAGAATAATCACTCTAGATAATTGTTTGTTCTGACAGATCTAGATAAGTGCCTTTGAAATTCTCATTCACTGCTTCATAAGTGAATTACAGGATCATTTGTCCCCACTTATGAATCTGGTGTCAACCGGGAGACTAGGGTTACTTTGAGTTGCAGTTGACTCTGACACAACAACATAGATGAATCTAAAAGTTCTTGTAACAAAATAGGTTAATGTTCTCTTTGCATGGACCTGGACTTGGGGGAGGCATACTATCTTTTGTTAAGGGTCTCTACTAGAGATGAGGCTAAAAATCTCAATAGAATATGTTTATTCTACAATGAAGTCATATTTTCATAGTTTTCCCCACATCTGAGGTTGTTTGTATTATTTCTTTTTCAGCTATATAGAAGAATTTTTTGGATAGTGAACTAGTAGGACTGAAAAGCCAGTTGTCTACTGCAAACACCAGGAAAGCCAGCTACAGACGATAATTCTAGAATCCTGAAATTGGGGAACTAAGAAGAACCTCACATAATGGCAAAGAAGGAGCTGTCAGGTTCAAACATGAAAAAAACTCAACATACTCTGAATGAAGCAGACCAACAGTTCACCCCTCTGATTATCCCAGAGTCAGGAATCCAGAAGTTATTTGACGGTGTGGAGTATTTCCAACAATATGTAGCTTGGAAATTACAAAAGCTGAAGGATAGTTTAGAAACCACAAATAAAACACAGTAAGCAAAATTATTACTACCATGTGGAAAGAGTACAACCAGCACACACCAAGAAGAGCCTTCCACATGCCGAGGGAGCTGCAGTCAAGTTCAAACATTATGAAAGGACAAAACAAGCCTTCTTGTAGAAAAGCAGACCAGATTGCCCATCCAGTGACTCTCTGACAAAAAGCCAAAAGAAATATACTGATGTGGAGTTAAGTGAAATGAAACATGAGAATGAAAACCACATACCAAAACCTATTATATGGTAAAACCAGTCTTCAACCCCATTTATAGAAATAAACATTGTAAAACAGGATCAAAACCACTGAACTGAAGACCATTAGGGAAAAATAGATAAAATTTAGGAGCCCTGATCTATAGCATAGGGAGTTTTGGTGGCTTAAGTGCTAAGGAGTTGTGTTGCCAAATTGGGCTCTCTGTTCTTAAACATCAATTGTTCCATAGGAGAAATATAGGCAGTCTCTTTCTGTGTGATTTTTCTGCGTCTGAAAAGCCCCTGAACAGCCAGATGTTTGTTCCAACTCAACAGAATACCCAACAGCCCACAGTATGGATAAGCTCTCACACAGCCATAATGTGCAACCAACAGAAGATAAAACGGTTGAACCTTCTAGAAAAGAAATCCTTATATACATAAAGTATCTCCATAAAGGGTGGGGGATCCTACACACTGGGAAATATTTTGTGAACTTCATAGAAAGTTACCATACTTCAAAGGATTGATTCAACTGGCTTTTAGGAAACAACACTACACTACTTGGATGAGTCTACAGGACATAGTGAAACAAGTCACAAATGAACTAAGTGCTGTTGTACGGAGAAACACTACAGAAAAGTTTAGATAGAGGAAATATGGTGGAAGTTTTTCACCCAGAATGGTGTGGGGAAATACATAATGAACACTGTTGGATTAAGGGTAGAAAAGGGTACACATAAGTATAGAAGATTGACAAGGGAAGGTCACTATAGAGGTCAATGAGGTGTAAGGGAAGCCAGTTTTTATATTGTATCCTTACATAGTGTGCTTTTTGAACCAAATGATGTTTGGTGAGGCTATTTGGGAAACTAGAAATGATTTTCAACTGAATAGTGGCAACAGGTAATTTTTGTTGTATGTAAATTAAACCTCAATAAATAGTAACAAAATTTTCCATTTCTCGTGTCTTCAATAAAATCTGAAATCATGCCAGCACTTTTAAAGACTGGCAATGAAAGAGCCTAAAAGTATCAAAAATGGTATGAAAAGGGGCTTGGATCTGCATCTGTCAAATGAAAACCTTGGCAAACAAGACCAATTCAGTTCCTGGACCTTTAAACTATTAACGGTTCTCCTATTAGTGTTAAGGGTTGTGCTGTCAATTCAGATTAATTTATCATCTGCTCTGCCTGAGAAAAATGGGCAATCTTGACTCTGAAAAGTCAGCTCTGAATTGGTTCTGACTAGATGGTAAGCAACAATGCAGAAACCAGATAACTCATAGCTGACCCTTCAGTGGGTTTTTTGAAGTTATAAATCCCAAAATAGGTGATTGCCCATCTGTGGAGCACGGAGTTAATTTAGTTCTCCCTTTGTTACGGTGGTTTCTATTGGTCCAGTGGTGAGAAGAGTTTCAATCAGTAAGTTCAAGTCAAAGAAATTTATACTTCTAGCTCATCCTTTTGCACATTGGGCCTTTGCCACCCATCCCACTACCCATCAAATTGTGCAGCCCTATGATTACCCCCCTGCCCATTCTCACCATTCTCTTCCTACCCTCTCCCCCTTGGATCCTCAGACACACTTTACTAGTTTTCTTTCTGTAAGAATTGCCTAATATTGTAATTGGCTTTACAGTGTTCTCCATGACCCTCTCAAGTTAGGTAGTAATTTTCTCCTGCATGCTGTGTAGTAGTCCATCATGTGAATGTATCATAATTTCTGGTACTGGGG